TCTCTCTCTCTCTCTCTCTCTCTCTCTGTTTCTATGCATTTATCTATCTATCTATAAGCCATGTTTCCACTAATTATGACCTTAGTAGCATTCTTCCTTGCTTCTACTTTAATCTTATTTTTAAAAAAACAACAAAAATGAAGCACGAAATAAAAATGAATATGGTCCAATTTTCGGGAAAAAAAAAAGATTTTTCCGATTGATTTTCAATCTAGCAAACTTAACCTCGCATATTATACAAAAGCATCAGATTGGCGACTTAGAAAAGACTCAAAATCTTGACAAAAGTTCAGTAACTTTATAATACCAGCATACTCGCAAATGAACTCCCCTCTGTTCAGGACCTGATCCGCGTGCAATCCCCAGCCCTTCTTCAAATGTCTAACAATCTTAACCCTAACGCCGATTCCTCTCTGCGTAATCCGATTCACGCAGTCCAACCCACATGAGCAATCCGCCCCACATTCTCCCAACGACCCTATTCCAATTCCTCCACCATCATCGAAGCCGGAGCATGGACATATCCCATCGAAGGAGCAATTGATGCATTCACATCCAGAGAAGAAGCTGACTTCTGCGACAGAAGATATGAAATCGGCCAGAGAGAAGGAGTTCGCCACATGCTTTGAAGGGCTTCCACCCCAGGACTGAGAAAAGTGAGGACGCGGAAAAGTGAAGGAGGAGCTGGAGTAAAGGAAGTAGGAATAAGGGATGGGATCCGAGGTGGGGTTATGAAAAGGGATTGGATAGATCTCGAGGCCACGAGCGGCGTCGGCCATACGGCGAGAGTTGATAGCGGCGGCGATCCGGCGGAGGGAGCGGCAGGTGGCGGCTGCGGCGGAGAGGGCGGAAGGTGGGAGGAAGGGGAGGACAAGAATCGCCCATTGCTCGAGTGATTCAGATTCGCAGGTTCTTGGCTTCTTCATCTTCACAACATTAGAGAGAATTTGAATGTGGATGAAGTTGGTCGGACTAAGAAAGCTTTTGATGTCCTTGATAATGAAAGTCTT